AAGTACAAGATACAATGTACAAAGATTCTGAAAAAAAACTAGATGTGCATTTTGGAGATTCTCTAGGTTTTTCAAATGCAATATGCAAATTGTATGATGAACAAAAGTTTGATTCAGACTGACGTCTGTAATTCACAGACATATCTTGAGTACAAATGCTTGTGTAACACATCTGATTTTTTTGTGTCCAACAGAATCGTACATTTGACTAAATTCTTGCCATATTTTGTGCAGATATATTTAGTAAATTTGAAATTATAATCATCATTCTTTCTGCATTATGGATTTGGTTAATGTTAGTGAAGAAGATGTTCGGTTTGAAAGCAGTCAAATGTGCATTAGGAAAGTTAAACTATCTGTAGAAGGTGGAGGTGTTTATAACAGCTTTTGTGTTGTACCGAGGTGAATAATGGTGCATCTGATACATCATTGTCTTTAATTGAATGTGGTAAATCTTGTATAATTTAAATATTTCATAAGTGGATATTTTTGCTGAATAATTGTAACCATTTATTTTTCCGTACATGGTCTGTGATTGTACGGTTTGAAGGCACGAGTAACACTTGTTGCTTTGAAGTTCCTTCAAATTGTACTTGAATCAGGAAATGAAGAGATTGGATATATCGTGTTCAAGTAAATGGAATCTCATACTGAGGAGACAGTAGCTAGCCTGGTATCAACTACCTATGTAGGACACTACACTAGTAGTTTCACCCCTTCCTTACCTGTTGGACCTAGGCTCTGTTGTTAATAACCAGACTGTGATGGAAGACTCATTATGCTTGAGTCTGAGGACTGTAGTTTAGAATGGAGCATGACAATGTATTGGTCAGGTTTAACCCTATGACAACAATCTACTTGCATTGTAAGTAGGTTATATAACCCTCGTGAAAGTTCTTTACAAAAATATAACTAGTGGATGAAATTGTTTGAAATTTGATAATAAAGGTCCTAAAGTAATGTAGCTTGAGAAAAATGAAGTTTAATTTTTATTTTTTCTTCTACTTCTAATTAAAAATTCGTTATTTCATGTAGTTATTTGCACTCAGACCCTGAATAGTTCACTTGCAAGGTGATTTATATGTGTAGTACATAATATTATTTTTATCTTACAGTTTTCACATTTCATTTGCACAATCTCTAGAACCTCATAAGCTTTTTTTTGGTAAATGTTTGTATTTTATTTTCCATTGTCTCTAGTATATCACTAACTATCTATTATCATCAACGTAAAGTGCAATGAAACGTTTAGATTTAACAAATGGAAAATATGTACGTACATTTCATCTCTTTGTAGAAATTCATTAAAATAGTCTTCTTGGTCTCCTATGTCATCTTTAGCTAAGACAGTTTTATTTTTCTAACAGGGTAGTTGGCTTCTGGAATTGGTTGCCTTCAGATATTGTGGAGGCAGTAAACTTAAGCGAGTTTAAGAGAAAGCTTGATAGGTATATGAATGATTAGGGCTGGCTTTAATATATTTTTTTTAATTAATTTATTTAATAGTTTTTGCTTAGAGGATGGGATAAAGCAATAAGTCCCTTGTTGTCCCTAAACATTGTTATGTTAGGTTGCTAAAGCCTAATGTAAACATAGCCTAACAAAAGACAGCTTCGAAACTTAATAAGGTTGAAAGCAGAATGATTTAACTAAGCCTAACAGTTCTCAACCTTATCTTGTTTCACAAAAACGTTTTTTTTTTCTTATCAGACTCCAACATCATAATTCGAATTAAGTATAAAATGATAAATGAATTTTTTTTTTGCCAGCTTTAACAAAAACATCAAGACTGTAATTGTGGTGGAAGTTGTTCACAAACATCTTTGCTACAAATAACATACCACTAAACTAAGCTTTTTTCAGTTTGTTTCAATCTTAAGCAAATTTCTGCTGGACTGGATGCATTACTCACTTATACAGTTTAAAAATAACAGAAAAAAAGCTTTCATTATATGTTTAGATCACTAGCACCCAGCTTCTCAAAGTTGCAATATAAGCAATTACATCATTACAGCTGAGGTTGATAAACAGTGAGCGGCTAAGATTGATAAAACTACATTTGTTCTGAAGTTAGGTCCAAATAAGTTTAATTTTGTTCAAAACTGTTTTGAGTTTCCACCTAGAGTGATATGAATGACATATTATGCTCAAAAAACTTCTAGGAAATTCACAAACCCTAATGTTTTCATTGAATGCATGTTGAAATTGACCAAAAGAAATATTTGAGATTAAAAAAAAACCTTGTCGAAACGTTGTACATTTGCTGTCATGTTAAACTTATATTAAAGTTTTTCTTCATTACCCATTTAAGCCGTCTCCAGCCATTATTAGTCTCAAAGTGGGTTCCTCGTCATCGAATTTTGATATACGTTAAGCATTTATTGACTTCGGATAATTTTCTAAATTTCCCATTTATAAACTAAAATCCACTTGGTGACTGCTGACGTGAAATCCAGGTTTCACACATACACATTTATTAGCATTTAAACAACCAAAAGACTGGCCCACAATGTTGACAAAATGTTTGCAATAAAATGCTTTGTGTATTGTTGAAACTAAAATAAGTATAGTATTTATTTCACCGTAGCTTATTTATAAAAATTAACTCTGTTGTACTTTTAGAAATTATGTACAGTTGTTGATAAAATGTTTGCAATAAAATGCTTTGTGTATTGTTGAAACTAAAATAAGTATAGTATTTATTTCACCGTAGCTTATTTATAAAAATTAACTCTGTTGTACTTTTAGAAATTATGTACAGTTGTTTCAGAAAGATTGTCACTAATATTTAAGCTCGTGCGAAGCCCATCATAAGAATTTTTAGATTCAAATACAACCAGGAACTTTTTTTTCCAAAGTGAAAAAGTAAGTTCTCTTGCAAAATAAACAATCTGGAAGACCAATAAAACCAAATAAGACTGTTGTATACTTGGATTATTTGAAGATGTGCAGTTACAAAAAGCTTTCGCTGTAATAACTAAAAGTTTTAGAATTTATAATCTAAATAAATTCTGAAGATGAATATAACTCATGCTTTCAAATGATGCGCTCATGATTTTGTTAGCTTTAGAAGCTTGGAAGTTATAAAACAAGAAATGCAATGAGTAGAGTTTTTAGTTTTTGACCCCATCAAGTTCAAAAGTCAAACTTACTAAACTAGAAATAAGCAACAAAAAGCTAGAAATAACTTTGATTTATTACTTTGTATCTTGACAACGTATAATACACAGGTGAGAAGTTGAAATATTTTTATCCACCAAATAAGAATTACAATGAGGAATATAAATTATGGTTACTAGTTTGAATTTCTCTCTATTACTTTATCCAAAAAGATTTTTAGTAAAATATGCATCAGACAAAATTCTAAATGTGAACACTTCCATTACTTTTATTTTGTAAGTGATTTGATGGGATTTAAAAAACTTAGTAAGGTAACTTGCCCTCTTTAAAACCCGAGATACTGAGCTGTAAAAGGGTTACATCTCTTAACATTTTTTACTGTTCATCTAGTTATTTTACTCACTATATCTCTAAAGTAATCGTCAAACCTGAGAGTTTTTGAGGCAGCAATAAGTTTTAACCGTTGAACATGGTATGCTTTATAAAATTAATTTTCTATTGAAAGGCTATTCACGTGTTAACCTTTTGATTACCAACATGAGTATGTTATGGACTTGTGGTTTTTGTATCGGTTCACATTTTTTACAACATGGGTACATTTTTGTCCATTTCTTAAAAGTAATCATTTTCTACTTTAAGAAATGCATACATAAATTATGTTAGCCTGGAAAATATGTACAGTACCTTGGTAATTAGAGGGTTAATATTTGATTATACCTTGGTAACAGGAGATTTAATGTGTAACTATATCTTGTTAATTAGAGGGTTAATATTTGATTATACCTTGGTAACAGAAGTGTTAATGTGTAACTATATCTTGGTAATTAGAGGGTTAATATTTGATAATACCTTGGTAACAGAAGTGTTAATGTGTAACTATATCTTGGTAATTAGAGGGTTAATATTTGATAATACCTTGGTAACAGAAGTGTTAATGTGTAACTATATCTTGGTAATTAGAGGGTTAATATTTGATTATACCTTGGTAACAGAAGTGTTAATGTGTAACTATATCTTGGTAATTAGAGGGTTAATATTTAATAATGCCTTGGTAACAGAAGAGTTAATGTGTAACTCTATCTTGGTAATTAGAGGGTTAATATTTGATTATACCTAGGTAACAGAAGTGTTAATGTGTAACTATATCTTGGTAATTAGAGGGTTAATATTTGATTATACCTTGGTAACAGAAGAGTTAATGTGTAACTCTGTCTTGCTAATTAGAGGGTTAATATTTGATTATACTTTGGTAACAGGAGATTTAATGTGTACCTATATCTTGTTAATTAGAGGGTTAATATTTGATAATACTTTGGTAACAGGAGATTTAATGTGTACCTATATCTTGGTAATTAGAGGGTTAATATTTGATTATACCTTGGTAACAGAAGAGTTAATGTGTAACTATATCTTGTTAATTAGAGGGTTAATATTTAATAATACTTTGGTAACAGGAGATTTAATGTGTACCTATATCTTGTTAATTAGAGAGTTAATATTTAATAATGCCTTGGCAACAGAAGGGTTAATGTGTAACTATATCTTGGTAATGGGAGGGTAATACTTAACTGTTTCATGGTAAGAGTATTAATATGTAAATATGATGTTATTCATTGTTTGGGTGTGCATAGGTCTGAATTTTTTTGTCTTGTTTTTGCATAATAAATAGCTAACTAACTCGTTAAATATTTTTAACCACTGATATGCAAGTAATAGAGTATAAAGGATAAGCATATATTGTTTATAGAATTTATGTGCAATTTTATGGAGTGTGATAGTAACATTGGTTCTTATTTACAGGCTGTTTGGGCATTAGGAAACATAGCTGGTGATAGTCCTGAGTGTAGAGATTATGTGCTTACTGAAGGTATTCTCCTTCCTCTGTTGCAGTAAGTGTTGGTCATCATCTTGTTTCTTTCTGGTAATCTGGCCCGGCATGGCCAGGTGGATAAGGCGCTCAACTCACAATCTGAGGGTCGCGGGTTCGATTCCGCATCCCACCAAACATGCTCGCCCTTTCAGCCGTGGGGGCGTTATAATGTGACGGTC